CCTTCTTTTCTTCTTCCTTTCCCTTTCTCTCCTCTTTCCCTTCTTTTTTTCTCTCACTCTCTCTCTCTCACTCTCTCTTTCTCTTTTTTTTGCGGGGGGGGGGGAGGGGGGAAGTTGCCCCCCCCCCAGAAAAAAAAAAAAAAAAAATTAGACGTGGTTTATTTCGAATTCGATACCAGTGATTAATAAATGCCTGTAGCTGAAATGACATGATTTTTAGGGATTTTTTTCTCAACTTTGTAAACAATTTTTTTTTTATGCGTGTGTTGGAAAATTTACAGTCAGGCAAAAAATATTTCATTTTAGGAGCCTTCATCTGACCGTAATTAATTGCCTAAAACCCATGAGCTAGTGTCCGGGGGCTCCTTCTCTGACCGTAATTAATCGGCCTAAAACCCCTGAGCTAGTGTCCGGGGGCTCCGCACCCTGGACCCTGTGACTTGTTTGTTCATATGCATGAGGGGCATTTGAATTTACATGTCACAAATCTGTCTTTTTTTGGTAATTAGTTTCATTCATTATTTCATTTGGTATTACTATGTGTAAGTGTGTGTGGGAGGGGGGAGGGCTTGCCTTCATGTGTGCATATACATGTAGATCTATGTGTGGTAGGGGCGGCTGTGTGTGTGAATGATAGAACGAGCATGGTATAAAATTTGCTTAGAAAACATCTTTTGCTGATCGAATGATTGGAAACTACTGTATGTTTATGTCGTTTCCACTCCATAGAGCTGGTTTCGTGGGGGGGGGGGGGGGGGGTAAGGAAAGCTAAGGGGTAAGGGGGTATTGGACATGTGACTTTTGGGAAACTTGATAAATATACAAATCCATCTGATTCTATGTTCATACTGATATCAGGTTTGTGTATATACACTATATTAAATCTTTCACAATGATCTCACTCTCTCAATCATACCACTCACACTCATGTAGGTTTATGAGACTTTTTAACAATATTAATATGCACATCAAACTTTTATGTGATTGAACATCAATTCATAACTTCACACTTCTCAAAACACCATCTTTATGCAGAGTAAGCATATTTGCCTCAAAACATTCTAATAAATATCTCCCCTATTATAGTTGCTGGGCAACCAATTCTTAACTTTTTCTTGGTTTTCCACCGTTATCAGTTACTGCTCAAGTTTCAAACGTTGGAACATGTCATTTTTGTTTCAGATACACATTTCCAAGACATATCTGGCACATTTTGTAGGTGCTTCCCAGATGGAGACCACGGAACTCAAAAGCAAGAAAACTGGACCAGGGACTTGTTTCATAAAACTCGCAAGTTACAAGCTACTGTTATAAGCTACTGAAATCATGGCATGTGATTGGATGACCCTTTATTTGCCACGTTAAAAACTCTAAAAATAAGTGATATATCTATGTTCATGTTTCGATTTAAATCCGGCATCCCCCCCCCCCCCATCACTAGTCATATTATTCCAACATAATGCTAATTTTCATTCCTACCCAACCAGGCATTCCAATGACTATCACCTATTTAACGCCAAAACAGCCTTAGCTCAAAACTCAATTAGACATTCTGGCCCTGATACCTGGAATGCACTACCCCCTGACATAAAATCGATTAATACAATGCTATCTTTTAAAAGAACGGTAACAACGTTTCTTATTGCGCATTATCTTTAAATCCACCATCAAAATTTGCTTACTTTCAATCTTTATAAGTTCCCCTCGTAAACCCGTCGTTACCAAACTCGATTTTCAGTACTCTTACTTTTTTGCTTCCATTCATTGAAACGTTCATTATAACCTTCCATGACCTGGTATGAATAAACTTATGAATAAAGAGTGGCATACTTGGGATACTTCCAAAACCTGTTTTGTATACAAACAAACGTTTACAGTCTACATATAAACCAGCTCGCTGATCTCACAATAATTCTATTTATATTGTCCAGAAACCTCGTGAGTTTTCTCATTCTATAATATCCCAAGTTGGTCACCCAATATTCCAATGTGCATCTCTTTTTGTTTATCTTCATGTATCAAATTGAAATCCAACTACATTGTACCACATACATCTGTGAATTTTGATGTACACCCCTTCTTTCTTTCTTTTTCTTCTTTTTCTTTCTTTCTCTCTCTCTCTCTCTCTCTCTCTCTCTCCCTCTCTCCTCCCTCTCTCTCTCTCTCTCTCTCTCTCTCTCTCTTTCCCCTTTTACCAATATTTTGTCCACTATATTCGTATTATTATGTATCCATTGAGGGTGGTCATGCTATCAAGCTTTACTTACTTTGATTATATTCTTTTGAAATGTGTAAAATTTGCAATATTTTGTTTGTTATATATTTGTAAAAATGCAAAAGAAAAAGAAAATCAAACAGACAAAAATAAATCAAATCAAATCATATCAAATTTGTCCTAGATATTTAGCATTTGTTATTGAAATTTTTAATGAAACAGGGACTAGATCGCAGATGAAAAAGCAAACGAACAAGTGATACAACACGGGAAATGAATGACACTGAAACACATTATAAGCTGAAAGAACTACATGACTAGTTTTTATTACCATTAAGAGAAGTTTCTTATATAATATTGATTATTTAGTTACGAAATTTAGTATTTCTACGCAGCAAAAGACATGCTTGTTTAAGGAACGGGTGATCCAGACTAAGGCGTTGTTCAGATAATAGGGACTTTTAGATTTGCACGACGAGAACGTTGACTGCCACATGTGACATCCTTTTAAGGCAATGTGACGTCCTTTTAAGGCTCTGGCAACAATCTATTAGTCTCGTAGGCCTATGTCTCAGACCACATCTAAGATTTAGTATACGTGATAATTGTATTGAATTTATAGCCCTAATGGAGCTTTTATCTAACTAAAAATGAAGTGGAACGACCTGTTTGATGTCAATTTAAAACTACTTCACAATACCCTACAATAATGTTACACTATAATAACCATAAAGAATACCTCGGATTTTTCCAGGATTCATCAGATATTTAATAAAAATCTAGAACCTTATTGTGATAGTTACACTTTAGTACATTGTTCTTCAACCTAGAAATCTTAACAAAACTACGAAAAATTCAATTATTTACTATGACGAAGACAATAGTTAAGTCTAGAACGTTACCTATTATACTTTCAGGATTTTCTTGCCCAAACAACAAATATTCTATGACACAAATATGATTCAGTAATAGGCTACAATTATATTCGATTACTTCATATATTACGTATAATTACGATTTTACTTTTAAACGAACTACCGGTATCATTTTTTCTTCTTCAGTAATGTTCACAACAATTATGGCAGTATTTTACAAGGCACATATTACGATATCTTCCTATGCAAGAAGCGCATACAAGAAGTTTATATTAAATGAAAGTACAAAAAACTTAAGACACCATATATAATAGTATGAGTACTGATTACAATGCACTGAAAAAACTAGTTGTATTCATTCAGCATTCAACTCATCAATTTTTTTTCTTTTTCTATTATGAAGTAATTAAAACAAATAAAATACAATTCAGCAAAGGAGAGATATTTCCTTTGATTTATGCATAATATAGGTTCCTCCTAAAACCTTTTACCACCATGACAGCTAAAAAGGAGCAAGCGCCCCGGAAATACATTAAATCAAAATGACTTTATATTTTTAGAAGAATCTTTGTTCTACTTCATTGTTTTCATGTTTCTGTTTTAGACAGGGACATTCCCGTACACATTATATTTCTGTTAATTTTGTGTTAAAGCAGTGAGTGCTTTTCAATAATTAAAAATCAAATATTACAATTTTATTGTCTTTGTGTAAGACATAAACCTGCTTTCCATTGTAAACGAAACACTGTACCGTGCGTTTGCGACTGTGTTGTCTGACGGTGTTAACATCGCCCTTTTAGTTATAGCAAAATACAAAGTGCTTCCGCCATCGCTTGCATGGCTTGTATGGAAGTGCCCAACAGATATATAGTTGCTCAAATGAATTCTTTGCAAGGTGGTGCCAGTGCATCGGGTAACTATGCAATGGGTAACTATGCACGGCCAGGCGCGTACGCAGGATTTTTTCAAGGGGGGGGGGGGGGGGGGGGGGGGTTTAACATTTATAAGAGGTCACTTAAGAGGTCACTTTTTTTTCTTTCTTTTTTTGGTCCCAAAAAAATCGCAACGACTCAGCCGACCGCTGAATAAGCGGGGGGGGGGGGGGGGGGGGGGTAAGAGGCAACGACTCAGCCGGCCGCTGAATAGGCGGGGGGGGGGGGGGGGGGGGGGGGGGGGGGGGGGGGGGGGGGTAAGAGGACATTTTTTTTTTTTTTTGGTCTCTAAATTCGAAAATTTGACATTTTGCTCCGTTGGGGGGGGGGGGGGTAAGGTCAGCTTTTTTAGGTCAACCATGGGATTTTTTTTTTTTTTTTTTTTTTTTTTTAATTAAAAAAAAAAAAAAGGGGGGGGGGGGTTTAAGAGAAATTTAGGGGGGGGGGGTTTACACACAAAATATTACCAAAGGGGGGGAGTCCCCCCCCCCCCCCCTGTGTACGCGCCTGTGCACGGCCATGTTGAAGAACAGCCATTGGCTGAAGTATGCAACCGTGCTAAAATATAATAAAACAAACAAACAAACAAAGCAATGGCTAGTACGTACATGGAGGAAGATGAAAGAAAGGAGTGGAAAACTCTTGTAATTAATTTATTCAAACGCATTCGTGAGTTCTAAAGCATAACAATGGGATGTGTAACATTCCGCTTTGAAGTTCCATGCTCCGAACCGCGCTTCCACTGCGGTGAATTTCGGAGGCCAGACACCAGTTTCACATTGATTACAACATATTAAATTACCGGAAAAATTTCAGTGTAAATTATAAATTTTATGTGGGGAATGTATAAGGAATAGTGCATCAAACAATTTTTCAAATTTAGTACTCCGCCCTGCCCATAATTTGTGTGCCAGAGTTGGTAAAAGAAAAATAAGATCCTGACAAAAACTCAATATTTTAGGATAATGCGCTAATTTGTGCATGTTTTAATGTCCCGTTATTAATTTTAATCCATGATTTACAATCTTCGATAACTTTAAATTTGCGTGTTTTTGCGTGTTTTTTGGTATTGTTGCAGTTGGAAAAAAGGATGAAATTACACCAGTTTGTGTTCGTTTGTTCTACTGATTACACATTCAACAATAAAATTGATGAAAAATCATTGAAAGGGACAGCGAACAGTTGCTGGTATACCATGTTCTGATGTAGGAATTCTAAGGAAGAGTTTCCGGCTCAGTACATCCTTCTGGTGCTGTTGTCACCGGACAGATGGTAGATCCACACATGGAAGAATTCGAATTCGCAGGGAGAGAGCGAATGAAGGATGGCAAGAAGAAAACAAAAAGAAGAGAATTAATAAGGTTTATCTTTTTGATGAACCATTAATGATAATATAAGAGTACCTAAGTGTGACGTCATACTGTCCACTGTCTAACCATTACGAGCCAGAGCAAATAACACTGAGTTCCTACAGGAAATATGTTTATTCAGATGGTCATATCTCAGCCAATACTGAACATATTCAATTGTTTTTCAACATTTGGACATTATTTTGATGCTCTTTCGGAAAATGAAGAAAAAATTGAGAAATTCTAAAAATAGATTTTTATGACGTCACAGCTTCGGTGTGACAGAATTTGACCAAATTGGTTTCACTTGGTCACAACAATGGCGTAGAATATATGGCTCTGGGTAGAACTATATTATAGCTTAAATGAAAAGTCGATTATTGTTTAAGACTGCAATTGCTATGAAGGTAATTTTGATTGGTTGATTGATTTTTATTCGACAAGCTTCCAACATACAACAACATACAATAATAACAGATCAGAAATAAGTCAGCTTGAACAGGAAAACCCACGAAAGCTCGAGAGCTTATTACCAGTGGGGTCCTTTACAGACATGTATAAAATTAATAACTTAAAATGATAATAATTATTTACAGACATATAAGAAAAATAAAAGAATTACTTATTAAAGATAATAATATTAAACAAATAAAACATTCAACTGATGATAGAAATGATAATAAGTACAAGAAGAAAAGGAAGAAGGAGAAGAAGAAAAAGAGAAAAAGAGGCGGAGGAAGAAGAGGAAAATAATGATGAATTTGTAGAATTTCTATATTTCTATATTTTAGACCCCAAAATGTGTGAATGTAGATTTAAAAGGATCATACCAATTCAACTCTACTTTTTTTTAATACGGTGACGGTTAATTAATTAATTAATCAATAATAACAATACACGGGCCGGCTGGTTGATTTTGATATTTTAATTGTATATTCTTTCAAATTTGATAATCAGTTTTCATTATCTCACCAAAACAAATTGTGTAGCGCCCTCTGCAAGAACAGAAAAAAGTATCAGCTACAGAAGCAAAAGTTACATTTTGCGAATGAGTAAATTCCGACAACAATATAAAACAAATCCAAAGAAGTGTAATACCAGAATAAAGCTAACGATTAGTTTATTCATTAGCCGCTCACCCCAAAGCCGCCTGACCACAATGGAACGAGTGAGGACTTAATTGTGAGAGGGGCCGAAACTCGATCGCTATTTTGCTCTTCTCCAAAGCAAAAAGAGACGACATTGTGCTGGATTGCTATGTTTTTTCCGACAAAAGTACAAAGAAAGTGCATATTATGTGTTTATATTCTACTTTTTGAAAGGTTGCCTAAGTGACTCTCGGGCACCCCGATGCTGGAAAGAAACGCACTTTTTAGAAAACTTCACTTTTTCATGCAAAAATGATTTTGCTCTATGCATCGTAAGACAGATTGCGCGGATAATACAATGTTCCCATATGGACCCATGTATCCCTGCAAGCCCCGATGGCATGAAAAGAAAAGAAAATGGGGGGGGGGGGGGCGGCGGGAGAACAAAAGAGAACGAAAGAGAGATACGAGGGTAGAAGTAATTAGAGGAGAAAGGAAAGAAAACCAGAAGACGGAAGGACCCCACCAGACTCGTCAATTTTTGTTTGCCAAACAATTCGCCATGAAACAAGAGTATATTAAATACAGCAAGCAAATTAACTGGCTCATAACGTTTTAAACTCACACCCCCCCCCCGAAAATGTATTCTCCAAGTGCCTTACCACATGCATACGTGACTTCCAAATAGGCCTGAGGGTTCGATGCACATTTATTGCCGTTGTAAGCTCCCACCGCGTAAGGATAGCATTTGGTCCTGTCCTTGCACCTTTGGTTTTGCAGGATATCCGTTACATCTTCGAAACACGAGCTGGCTGTGTTGGCTTGACCGCTTGGACATATGATGTTGTTATTCCGCCCGTAGTAAGCGCTGCATATGACGACATTGTTCAGGCCACAATCGATCGTACCAAATGTACCTTGACACACTGGAGTCATAATCGCTGTGCAGATGATATAAACGACAAAACAGAGGGTGGTGAAAATAATGAATTTGGACTTATTCATAGAAATTACATAAAAATAGCAGGATTAAGAAATGAAAGCTGAGAGGTGGTATACAGGGGCTTTGAGTTTGAGGGAGGGAGATGGGGGTGGGGGGGGGGGGGGGTTAAAACATTCTAAAATAGGTAAGAGAATTGGAATTCAATTTATAATGATAATTTGTTTACCCATGCAGGGAAGCCTAATCGTCATCAATATGCAAAGGCCTTGCAAGTACCCATTTACACCTGGGTGGAGAATGGCAAATGAGTATTAATGTCTTCCTGAGCTAGGTACGTTAGTACAAGCGTAGTAGGTCCATGGTACAAGGGTGTGATTCGAACCCCAAGCCATGTTGGATTGAGGGTCAAGTGAATCGACCACTATACCACGACACTTGAATTAATTGATAGGAACACAAACACTCACAGGGTCGTGAGTTAATGTATGATTAACAAATTTACAATTTCCCTTAAGTTTTTCAGTAGTGGGAGGAAAAGCAAGATAAAACCAGATTGCACCTTCAAAAATCATAACTTTCTCATTAATTTTGTAATCGGTTTTTGTTCAAACTTTCCCTGCTTTAGCAAAACCTCTGATTTGAGGGGGACGTTTGGTCCTATCGACTTCTTTTCTCATCGATTTTCCATGGATTGTCTCTTTCGGTCTTTCATTATCTCTCTATTTATTTTCCGTCTATTTATCATTTCCAGTGGCGTAGACAGGTTCGTACACCTGGGGGGATGACTCAGGGGCGGATCTAGCTTTTTGCTAAGGGGGGGGGGGGGGGTGACCAATAATGACGATGCGGGGGGGGGGGTGTTTATTTGAACCCCGTAAGTGATGTTTTCCTGGCATCTATTAACACAATGGAGACCATAAAAAGCAGTGCATGATAACGTCTTTTTAAATCAAGTAACGGTTAAATACACAGTTATATCCAGAGTTATCATGTGTTTGGTTAAGTTACCAGATGAGTTGAATATCTTCTCACAATATTTGCACTTGAAAGGGTTTCTCTCCAGCGTGCGTTCTTTTTTCTTTCTTTTTTTCTTTTTTTTCTTTTTTTCCCCTTTTTTCTTCTTTTTTTCCTTTTTTTGTTTGTTTGTTTTTTTGGGCCGCCCCCAGGGGGGTTTAAACCCCCTAACCCCCCCCCCCCCCGTAGATCCGCGCCTGTTTAATCTTGTGGTTATCTTGTGGTTTCCAAACCACAAGATAACCACAAAATACTTGTAAGATTTTCTTTTTTTTACCGTCTGAATTGGCTTTCACCGTGTGAATGCGGCTAATAACAATAAACACAATTACAATAATGATGAGGATTATTATTATCATCATCATAATTATTATTATTATTAATATTATAATTGTTATCATTATTATTATTACTATTATTATCATCATTATGACTTATTAAGTAAGCAAATATCATTCCCCAAAACCTGGGGGGGGGGGGGGAATGATTGTACATGCCATCCCCCCCCCCCCCACCTTGTGAGCTTGGGGGATGCATCCCCCTCATCCCCCCCGTTGTCTACGCCCCTGATCATTTCCCTTTTAAAATGAAGGAACGACTTTGAAGGAAATCGAAAGGGAGCTTTCAGAAACGTATTTCACAACCTATATAAATCACGTTCAGATTACGATATACGTTATTGTAGTATTCTTATGTTTTATTAGAGGATTGACAGGGCTATTGACATAGCCCCAGGTCAACTTTGCGGCAGTGTTTGCAATCGCAGATTCACTCCCTTTTTTGTGTAATTCGATTGTGGAAAGGGGATGGGTGATCTCCTTCCCCTATGCCTCCTTTATCTACAACACTGACAGCTACAACCCCAGTATTATCGTCAATTTCTGTAGGTAAACATAGGTCTACATACTTGCTGGCAGTGGTACCGCCGGCTCCGTTGCTATTGTCGTCGGCTGCATTGTCGTTGTCGTCGGCTGCATTGTCGTTGGTTCTTCAATTTAAATCAAAAGGGTGCAAGATCATAATAATACAAGAAAATAAGTAAAATCAATTTCATTTCAGGATATGCAACATAATCAAATACACCGCCCAAAAGGATTATTCAATCAATTTATTAGTTTTAGCACATCTATCCACTTTTTTCCCCTTTTCTTTTTCTTCAATAGTTTTTTTTATGATTCCAAACAATAGAAATCAGTCTTAGAAATAAAATACAGTTGTTTTTCATCTTAACATGAATTCTAAACATATTCATTACACAACTTGTACAATTGATGAAGAAAGAAAAAAAAAATCAGTTGTAACATATAACAAATAGCCTCATCCAACCAAACACACTACTACCCCCCCCCCCCCACCATGCGACACACACACACCACCCGACCACACACCCACACAGTGGCGAATCCAGGGGGCCCGGGCCCCTCCCCTGGGAAAAAAAACGTGTAAAAATTTACCTTTTTTTGGAATTGGGCCCCCTCCCGTGGCGCTCGGGGGGGGGGGGGTGTGCGGAAAAAGTTTACTCTTTCGATGGCTCCCAAAACATTAGTGCTCACTACCCCCCCCCCCCCTCCCCCCTCAGAGCGAATTATCGGCCGGCTATTTCGCCGCTAAATATTTTCTCACGAATTGGGCCCCCTCCCCTGCCGCCGGCTTGATCCGCCCCTGCTCCCACACATATACCACACACAGTGTTCCTAGCCTCCTCAGAATATACCCACAATTGGAGCGACAGAAAAATAGAAATATTCTTATTTAAAACAAAATTAAAAATATCATTAAAAATCATTTAAACGAGGCTACAATAGCCCACCATTAAAACTTCATGAAAACTTCACTTGTCCCCACTTCTGTAAATATAAGGCTAATTTACCTGCCCTCCCTGCAATATTCTTTTCTTCTTCCCTAAATTCCAACAGTTCTTTCTGAAACTCACCCAAAGAAATCCTTTAATATTCACCCTATCCCGGAAAAAATAAATCTTAACTCAATTAGAATTTATTTCTATTAATGGAGTTTCTATTACAATGCTACTTCGCTCTCTCTCTCTCTCTCTCTCTCTCTCTCTTTCTCTCTCTTTCTTTAAATTAATTCCCCATCTTGATGGAAAATCTAATGATTTTATTCATGAACGTTTTTGTGCTTCCTAATGACACAATCGAAACTATTTAAGTTGATAACTAGAGTAAGGCCTATTACCTTCGCAGGTGTACGTAAAATTCAAGTACTTTTTGACACCGTCACAAGGGTTCTCCGAGCCCCCGCCGAAGAGAGACCCCTTGGGTTTAAAATCACACGATTCCATATTTTCACACAGAGGCGTCAAGTAGTCGATCACATCCAATTCACAATCTGTGACGTCACTAGTTTCGCCACAAGTTGGATCGGCGTCAGTGCGCCCCCAGATGGCAGAAACGATGTGGATAAGTCCCTCATCGCATTTGATATAGCTTCTCACGCCTTTACACACAAGTTCATTTTCTAAAGAGAAAGATACACTGTCATTGCGAAGATCAACATTGTTAGAAAGGACTGCCTGAAAACATAAGGTCTATTTGCAGGGACACAAATAAAAAGATAAGCATCGTAATCTACAAATGGCAGAGGAAGAAGTAGGAGGAGAAGAAGGGGAGGAAAAGAAGAAGAAGAAAAAGGAAGAAGAAAAAAAAGGAAGAAGAAGAAGAAGAAGAAGAAGAAGGAGTGATTATGAACTCCGACCATCGTAATCTACAAAATAATGGCAGGAGAAGAAGCAGGAGGAGAAGAAGAGAAGGAAAAGAAACAGAAGATTAGAAGAATAAAAAGAAAGTAGAAGAAAAAAAAGAAGAAGAAAAAAATTTGAACGAAAATCGGTACCTATCCCCACAAAGTATCATTCCCTTAATTTCACCAGCAAGGATGGATAAAAAAATAATGTCAAAAACGTACGCGACGTACAAAACCATGGACTTCTATAAATCCATGGTAAATCACGAATAGTTTATACGTTTGCTTTAGGCATGTTTAACTTAAATATTTACAGTTTTAGATATATCGGGAATGAACTAGAAATTTGTATCAATGTCACGTTGATAAGCATTGATATTTAACTTTCAAAAGATGACATGTAGCCTATACATATTATGGTGAATTCAAAAAATCAAATCAAAATCGAATTCTTGACGTTTCAACATACGTGGAGGTGGTGCAGTGATCATTTCTGTAGTTGGTGCTGTGGTCATTTGTGTAGTTGTAGGAATAGCTGTGGAATATGCCGTTGTTGAGAATTGTGCCATCGTTGTCGACGTTATGGTGTCCATTCATGTGCGAATGATGTCATAATTGTAAAGTAAAAACAACTACAGTTAGAAATGCCGTAAGAAAATTGAGGTAAATATCACACACACACACACAAACACACACACACACACGCACACCCACATACACATACACACGCACCGTATCCGGACACTACCCCTGGATATCAACACCCGGATAGCCACCCCCGGTCAACTACCTCTTAGGAAAACTAACCTCTAGGACAACTACCCACTAGGGCAACAACCCTCTAGGACGACTACCATCGGGACAACTACCCCCGGACAACTATACCCCCAGACAACTACCCCCTAGGACAACTACCCCTCGGACAACTACCCCCTAGGACAACTACCCCCGGACAACTACCCCCAGACAACTACCCCCGGACGCGCATATTTTTTTACACAACTGTTTAGCCACTTTAGTCAAATATACTGTGCAAACGACTAGAGACAGAGTCTATCATTACCCTTAGCAGTTTTATTGGATTGCTGGAGCTTTACATGTGTGCATACTCGTTATTTGTTTCGGGTTTAATTTATCCTCTCTTCTCTTTCATTATGTATTTCTGTGTTCTCCTTCTATCTATCCTCTTCTCTTTTGTCATGTATTTCTATTTTTCTCTTCAATCTATCCTTTTTCTCCTTCGTTATATATTTCTTTGTTTTTCCTTCAATCTATCCCCATGCAAGTTCTCCCTCGTTATGTATTTATTTTGTTCTCCTTTATTCTAACCTCTTCTCTTTTGCTTCATGTATTTCCTTGTTTCTCCTTCACTCTATCCTTT